GAAGATTGCATTTTAGGAAAAATGCACAGACTACCATTCCCAAAAAGCGATACAAAATCTGAATGCATTGGAAAATTCAATCATGCAGATCTTTCAGGTCCAATGCAAGAAAATTCGCTTGGAGGAGCTCGATATTTCTTAATGATGAAAGATGACTACAGTCACTGGAGAAACTTATATTTTATCAAAAATAAATCAGAGACATCATAATGTTTAGATTTCTTTAAGAAGATTGATAAGCATTTAGAAAAAGGAATTAAAATATTCAGATTAGATAACGTCCTTGAGTTCGCCAATAAAGAAATTGAACTAACACATCGATATAGCATTAAAACGCATAAGAAAATAGTATCATTTACTTCGGAACAGAACGGTTGCGCCGAACAGGAAAACAGAACTGTAATTGATTTAGCGAGAACATCGTTGCATGCTGGAAAACTGCCAATCAAAATGTGGGCTGAAGCAGTTAATTACACTTTACTGTTTACACTTTATAATTACACTTTATTGTTTATATTTAAAAACCGAAACCAGTGTGGAGAAAGGAGTAACACATATTGAACTGTGACTCAAGAAAAGACCGAACATTTCGAATCTCAGAATCTTCAGAAAAGAAATATACTTTCATATCTCTAAAGAGAAGAGACGAAAATGGGACTTCAAAGTCGAAAAAAATGTTTTCGTTGGGTATGATTGAAACACAAAAGGATCTGGCTTTCTGAAAAAGGATAAGTTAAAATATGTAGGGATGTAATGATTCACAATCAGCACGAAATTAATTCAAATGAAGAATGGGAATCAGAGTCAAATACGATAATCTTTGAACATCAGAAAGATGATACAATCAAAATAAATGTCAAATCGAAAACAATTATTCATTATTTCGAAAACAACGAGCAAATAAATTCAGATGAAGAATCAAACGATCTAGAAAATGAAAATCAATATGAATAAGACCAACGTTTGAAACGTTACAGAAATAAAATATGTTGATCACATAGGCTCACGTACAGAAATATTGTAATCATAGAACACCATGAACCGGAAAGTTATTATGACGCGATCACATGTAACAACGCAATCAAATGGAAAGAAGCCATGAATGATGAAATTGATTTTTTGAGTAAAACTCAAACATTAATAAATTCTCTATCAGATCATCAAATCATAAATAATCGATGGACTTATAAACTGAAAATAAATAGCAATGGAAGCATACAACGATTCAAGACAAGATTCATTGCTAGAGATTTCAAACAAATTGCTGGAGTTGATTATCATGAAATGTTTAATCATGTAGCTAGATTCGATTCAATAAGGATTATCCTATCTATCATAGCTTCAAACAAAATATACTTACAATAATTTGACGTCAAGACGGCTTTTCTTCACAGAGAACTCGACGAGATTATCTA